GTGTGTGTGTGTGTGTGTGTGTGTGTGTGTGTGTGTGTGTGAGAGAGAGAGAGAGAGAGAGAGAGAGAGAGAGAGAGAGAGAGAGAGAGAGAGCTAGATATGCAGCTCTGTGGATGTTCTTACTCGTGTGTTTGAGGCTATTCAACACCTATTACCAAGGAAAGAAAAGAAACATCGTTCAATTTCTCCATTATTCATTCATTGAGTCTGCAGCATGGACTGACCACCATGTCCTCAGGGGCAGGCCCTGTACTGGGGTACAACAGGGGACCAAGTGCAGTTGTGTGCCCAGGTGGTGTAGCAGACTGGGGGGACAGACGCGAAGACGCGAGGGGGTGGAGATGTGAGTAGGGCAACGGCATAGGAGCAGAGGACTTGGGTATCCAGGACGTGAGCCTCCTGGTCTCAGACTGGGTGCCCTATTGTTTCCCAAAAGCAGATCCTGGCCCAGGATGCTGGAAAGGTGGATTATTTGTAAGTGTATTCAGGGAGCAGAGGATGGGGCACAAAGGAAAGCAGGATGCAGGAACAAGTCCTGAGACTAAACACAAACAGGTCTTCAAGGGTTCGTCTAGAAACCTTTTCCTAAGCACCTATTTAGAGAACAAATGGAAGAAACATTTACTTCAGACTCCTGCCTCTCTTTGTTTGAGGGTTGCCTGGTGGGGAGGGCATAGAGGGAAGCTGATGAATCTGATTAAAGCCCTCGTGGTCAGAGCCGGGCCTGAAATTGGCTGAGTTAGAGAAGACAGAGCTCAGAAATCAACCAACTTCTCACCCCTCAGGGCTGGCTCAAAGAAAATTCTCCAAGCCAGGTATTTGAGATGAACTTTCCAGATTGGCTGGAATGTGGTGAGACCAGGAACCAAAGACGTATAAGGATGGGAGACACAGCTAGGCAAAGGGCCTGGCACTGGTGGAAATCCCTATAGTACAGGCCTCCCTCTGGTGGACAATCTAGGCATAAAGATTCCTCCCAGGAAGTATTTGATGCGGAGGGGGCAATAGAAAAACTTATTTTTTGATTATAAAGATGGTGAAGCTGGAGATGTAGCTCAATAGGAGAGACCTATAGCATTGGAAAAAGAAAAAAGGTGTGCATGCCGGTGGGGGGGGTTGTAGCTATAGAACGGCTGGATATTGACAGGGAAGGAACTATTGATGGAAAACACAAGAAAAACAGCTGGACAGGACAGCATGTGCCTGTAGCCCCAGTGTGCTGCAGGCCGAGCTACATAATATTGAGTTAAGAGGCTAGCCTGGGATACATAAGTAAAAACATTTTTTTTCCCCTGATGTTTGGGTAGCCTGCACGTCTTATCTTTGGCAATATTGGTAATTTCATCAAACAGGCTGGGTCTTAGGTCATTTGACCAATGAAATGTGGTGAAAGAAGCCTAGGTCACTTTTCAGCAGAACCTTTGGAGTAAGTGTCTGGGTATATCAATCCTTCCGCCACAAAAGGCTAAGCCATTAGCCTGTTGTGGAAATGAAGAATTTTTTTGTGGAAAGAAGTCTTTTTGCTTGCTTGCTAATTTTTTTCAACACAGGGTTTCTCTGTGTAGCCCTGGCTGTCCTGGAACTCGCTCTGTAGACAAGGTTGGCCTTGAACTCACAAAGATCCACCTGTTTCTGCTTCCCAAGTGCTGGGATTAAAGGCATGTGCCACCACTGGCTGGTGGAAAGAAATCTTTTTAAAATAAAAAATTATATGTTTGTATTTGCGTGTCTAAGTAGGGCATGTGTATGTGAGTGCAGGTGCCTTTGGAGACCAGAAGAGATTGTTGGATCCCCTGGAGTGAGAGTTCCAGGTGATGGTGAACCTCCCCACATGGCTTCTGGGACCAAACTCTGGTGCTCCACAAGATCAGCAATCTCTCTTACCTGTTGAGTCATCTCTGTAGCATAAGAAATGAATATTTGTTGTAGGAAAACTTTGAGCATTAAACTTGCAGCCAGGCAGTGGTGGCACACACTTTAAATCTCAGCACTTGGAAGAAAGAGGCAGGTGTATCTCAGTGAGTACCAGGACAGCCAGGGCTACACAGAGAAACCCTGTCTTAAAAAACAAACAAAAAATAAAAATAAAAAAGAGAATTGGGCTTGTTCGTCACTGCATCAGAACTCCATCTTTCCTGACTAATATACAGAAGAACTAAAACTAACAGAAGAACAATGTATAGAGTCTACTTACTATGGCCTTTCTGAAATCTTCTGAGAGAAGGCTCAGCATGAAGTTTTTTCTAAGACAGATCCTGGTTCATATTCCAACTACAACCTGGGAGACTTTGGATAATTCATTCCCTTCCATGTGGTTTGGTCGTCACAAGTGTCAAATGAAATACTGAGTTGAATTTTGCATGAGACCGTGGGTTTTATTCCCAGCATA